ATGCAGAGTTATCCTTCCACGTTTGGGACACTGATGCCTTTCCTGTCTTGTCTCACCATTCAGAATTCCATCAAGGATCAGTCAGTCATCAAGAATTTTTTTATTCTTCTTCTCTATTCTTAAAAGCTTCTTATTTTTAGTTCTGTCTTTTGTGCCCCCCCTTTTAATGATAAAACAAATTTTCTATCTTTTCTTATTTTTTTTCTTTGCAGTGACATCTTATTAAACATTCATGCATGCATATAATGTATTTGGATCCAATCTACCCCCTTTTCCCTTCCCTCCAATTCTTCCCCTACCCCCTCTTCCTTCTCTGGTTCCACATCCAAGCACAGCCAGGCAGAATGAAGCAGACTCACTGGTTATTCAATTAACAAAACCAAACCAAAACAAAACAGACCTACTGGTGTTTTTTTTCAAGAGTCCAGTCCCAGGGTTACGTAAACTATTTCACGCTTTGAGCTCACTTCAAGAATACTCCGTTATGTTAATTAAAAATATGTTGTCGTTCGAATCGTATGGTTCTGCTTCAGGGACAGGAGTGGATGAGTGCTGTCTGAAGCAGCACCAGAGTGCTCCCTTGCAGCACCTTCGTCAACGACAGAAAGACAGGAGCTTGTGTGAGAAGCAGGTAATTCTTAACAAGAGAAGCCCAGTAGTGCCTCTGAGCTCCTAAAGGATTTGCACTAGGAAAATTGCTGGCTGGTTGCTTCTGGACAAACCTTGACTGATTAGAAGCTCTTCCCCCACCTTCCGCCAGGTTCAGTCCCAGTTTATGTTTACTGTTTTTGTTTGATTTGGAGATAGAGCTTTGTTATGCAGCCTAGGCTGGCCTCAAACCTGGTAATCCTCCACCTCAGCCACCTCAAACCTGAGATTACAGGGGTTGGCCTCCAGGCTTGTCCATTGGCGGTGAGTTTCAAGGATCCTCAATTCCTCCGAGGTAAACGGGCTAGTAATCTGTTAGTAAGGTGTGATTTGGTCACATAAGTGAGGGTGGGGCCCAGACTCCGGCTCCTGTGAACAGTGCCACTTGGAAGGAATGAGTGTGGCCCTGCCATGTGTTGCACGCTGCATTTTTTTTTGTTCTTATCCAGCCTGGACCAATTTCACTGAACATAAACACACACACACACACACACACACACACACACACACACACACACACACACTGACACAAGGGCTCACACTGGCACAAGGGCTCACTAGGGTTTACTAACACCAGTGCTCTCTTATGGTTTATGGCTAGTCATCTTATTTCCTATAATCATAGCTCATATACATGTAGTTCAATTTTTATCATAAGAGGTCTTAAAAATGCATGAAGCTTTCCTGTAGAGAACTATATCAAGCAGTTGAAAGTCCAGCTCCCATTTTATTTGCCAACAGTGCTCAACATAGTAAATACAATGAGAAGATTCAATGCTGGTGAATTCCTTTCCAGGTATTAGGGCAACAACCTGGAAATGTTCTTTCCTGCCACTTTGAAACTTAAAGTTGACTGTGGAAAAATCACATCTTACTCAAACTGAATTCAATGTAAATAAGCTGGGCTCTGAAGACTTTAGTGGGAACAAATGGCGATAGTATCCAGCTGCCCCACAATGGCTCTCTGTTTAAACCCCTCCCAGCCCTTCTATGTTGGAAGTAAATGTCTCACTCTCTGCCAAATATGTTTATGGTTCTGCATGTCTCTCCTGATACAGCACTGAAAGATTTGCATGCATACCACCTTCTCAGTAAATCCTGCAGACAGAGATGGTAAGCAATTTGGCTGCATTTATGCTGATTTTCAATGAGCAGCCTCTCTCTTTAAAATTAAAATTTTTACTGAGAAAATTATAGATTCATGTGCCGTTCCAAGAAATAATGAAACAAGCTCTCTTGTGCACTTAGCTTCCCTCAGTGGGAAGATGCGACCTCTTTGCAATGGTATAGTAAAATGTCACAACCGGAAGTCAATATTCATGGCCCGGAGAGATCGATGGCTCAGTGGGTAATGTGGTTGCCATAGAAGTATGAGGATCTGAATTCAGATCTCCAGATCACATGCAAATGCCATGCCGATGTGGAGGCTTCTCTGTAATCACAGTGTTTGGGAGGTGATGACAGAGGAGCCCTAGAGCAAGCTGGCTATCAAGAGTAGTTGAATCAGTGAGTTCTGGGTTCAAGTGAGAGACTCTGAACCAACATATATAAGATGGAGAGCAATTGAGGAAGATACCTGACATCAGTCTCTGGCTTCCATACGTGCATGTACACACATACACATTTACCTCCACACATGAACACATGCATGCACACAACATACACATACATGCTGACAAAAAGAAAAAAAAAACAACATTCATGTAATCTACTGATCTTTTTCAAAGTTTCCCAGATTTACTTGTATTCAGCCATGTGTGTGTGTATCTTTGGTTTCATATAATTTATCATATGTGTAAGAGCATACCTTTAAAAAAGATGTATTTTAAAATTCTTAAATATAGATGTATGTGTGTTTATGTGTGGGTATGTGAACATGAATGACAAGGGAGTCCAGAACAGGGCGTTAGATCTCCTGGAGCTAGAGTTGTAAGTGTTACAGCTCTAAAAGGAAAGGTGTCCTGGCAGTTGGGGGCCAAGAAATACTACAAAGTCACACCACATAACAAACCTCACACAAAAGATTTATTGGGAGAGACACAAGAGGGTGGCTGCCTCTGCTTGGGAACTGAGCAGGAGGCAGGCTTTAGGTAGGGTTTCTTTCGGGAGGAGTTTTCCAAGGTGGAGATTTCCAGGGTGGGGATTGGTGAGATTTCAATCCAAGCCCAAGGACTGATGGGATTTCTAGCTCAAGGATTGGTGGGTTTGAGCTCAGGGACAAGCTCAGAGTTGGTGGATTTTCAACCTCAGGGATTGGTGGAGTTTGGTAGGTTTTCAAACCTGGCAGTAGACTCGGACCTTTTACTCTATAAGAGTTACAGGCAGTTTGTGAGCTGCCTGATGTGGGTGCTGGGAACCAAACTCTGGTTCTCTCCAGCCCCATAAGAACATAACCTTGAATTAGTATTTATAGTCTTTGGAATCTCTCTTCTAGAGAAACTTGCAGGTATGTCCAAAGCAATGTATTCCGACACTGATTACAGTATTTATCTAGCACGCCAAGAAATGGCAACATCTGGCTCACCATTAGGGAACAAGGAAATGCTTTTTTTTTTTTTTTTCCCGAGACAGGGTTTCTTTGTGTAGCCCTGGTTGTCCTGGAACTCACTCTGTAGACCCGGCTGGCCTCGAACTCACAGAGATCCACCTGCCTCTGCTTCCCAAGTGCTGGGATTAAAGGCATGTACCATGACCACTGGGCACAAGGAAATACTTTGGGTTCAATATGAAATACAGTGGAGAGTAAAGAAATGAATATATCTACATATGGGACAACAGAAAGCTTTCCAGACTAAGTATACAATCTCTAGGACAGGATGATAATAAATTTACACTGGGGTAAAGATGTACAAGGGTAAGTGTATGTGTGCACAGAAATGCATTAAAAATACGAAGGATGCCACAAAGTGTGTCAGTGCACACCTGCAGTCTTAGCGCTCTGGAGGTGGAGGCAGGTTTGCTACCAAGTTCGAGGCTGGCCTGACTGCATAGTATGCTCCAGGCCAGCCTGAGCTACACAGCCACCCTCTAGCTGAAAAAGCACGCGAAAAAGCATGCAGTGGTTCAAAGTAGTTGCTAAATGTTTCAATTGAGAATCCAAACATCTCAGACAGAAACAAATCTCCCGCGGCCTTTGGAAGCCATCCTGTGCTTGAGAGTAGTTCAGAGACTTTTGGGGAGATGATAGTCTCTTCTACCTGGAAGAGAGGAAAAGTGGGAGTCTTTGCAGAGCAAAGTGATTCTCCTGGTGCAGGAGAATGTCATGGGTGGTGAATAGATAGGGGGCAGGAAAAGCAGCAAGTTGCTGAGGCCGGGAGGCTCTGCTCACACTGGGTGGTGGCCACACGAGCGATTGCCTGGAAGCAGCACCTGGGAATACGGTGGAAAATGGAAATTGGAAAGTCACTCATACTGAAAGCCTGAACACGCATGTGGGCAAACTGAGGGCACCTTAACAGCACAGCTCTCTTCCCAACTGGCAATTCAGATAGTGGAGCTCTTTCACACCTGTGGTGGTGACCCTGCGATCCATTTTCCTAACAGCAACCATTCAGCTGTTATTTACAAGTAAAATCGAAATGTGTACAGGAAAGGCAAAACAGGGCATGGGATGAACTTGCAGCCCCCCAAAGAGGAAAACAAGTTCTTTCTACGCCTCTCCACCTCTACCCCTTGCATTTTTGTAACATACAGACACATTTTTCCATAAGACACTCCCAGCAAAATTGAAACCACATGTGCAGATGGCCAGGCTGGGCTGTACATGTTCCTGTGCAGGCAGTTCCTCCGAGCTGCCGCAAAAGCAGCTTTCTCAGCTCTTGGATGCTGGGGCTTGTCTAGGAGGCCCCTACGTAGCAAACAGCTCTCAGGAGCTTTAACAACTGCTTCCTACACAAACACCCAGCTCCCTTCGTTCTCCAAAAGTTACAAAGTGTAAATTTCTTTCCTGATAAACTCTGAAGCTTGCTCCCTGATTGGTCTCAGTTTAGTAAAGGACGTGACATCAGCAACTTTGCAGACTTGAGGCCTGGGGGCTGTTGTGGACTTCGGCCGGTCTCCAGCCTGTTAGGTGGAGTGTGTGTGTGTGTGTGTGTGTGTGTGTGTGTGTGTGTGTGTGTGTGTGTGCGCGTGTGTGTGTGTGGGGGTGTGTGTCTGCATGAGAGTCTGTTTGACCACAGGTAGTACTCACATTACCCTGCCTGTGCTGTTCTCTGCTGCAGATTGCCTGGACCAGGACGTGTGCAATTCAGCCAACCACAGAACTGGAATTTCCCAGGGGCACCAGAAGCATGGCATTCTGGTTTTCCTGAGCAACTGAAGTGGAACGTAGTTTGCTGGCCTACGAGAGTACTATGGATGGTGAACAAGGGGGCAGGATGGACAAGCCAGGAGGCTCTCCTCACCTCAGATTCCTTTCAAACCCATTGATGGGGGGTGAGTCATAGAAGATGTGAAATCAGAGTGCTGGGGAGGGTGGTTAATGTGCTCAAGAAAGAGAAGAGATCTAGACTATGTCAGTGGGTCTTTCTGTGGGATATCCATTGGGTAGCTACTGGACAGATGTCCATCCACAGCTTGCTAGTCTGCATTCTTCATGTGGTTATTTAAAAATATACCTTTATCTGTAGAGTCATAAAGATGAAACAAATTTTAATTATCACATAACATTTTCCAGTGGTGAAAACTTTTGCTCCAAGGGATCATTCTTTTGTGGGTCAGATGTATTACTTATTAAATAAGAGGTTTAAGAGTTACTTATAAATAGCCATGTTTTGGTCTCCTGTGTAGTCCAGGTTGACCTTAAACTCATTATCCTCCTGTCTCAGCCTCTGAAGTGCTGACATTTCAGGTGTGTGTGTGTGTGTGTGTGTGTGTGTGTGTGTGTGTGTGTGTGTATTTATGTATGCATGCATGTATATGTGCACCACCTGATTGGCTCCTATAGGAACATTTAAATTGCTAAAACATTTCTTTCATTAAAAGTTCTCTTAGATATTTCCTATTTGGTGAAGCTGGGCTTGTCAAGGATGTTGGCTGGTTGATTGCCTTTAGAAAGGAGACTTGGAACATGCTGGGAAGGTTTCTTACAGGTGTGAATTGCACCTGTTGGTTGACACATTGGCTAATGTAGAGTCTCATGCATTCACTCACTGTCACTCTCCTGTAAACATTCGGCAGGGTCCAGGTGAAGGAATTCTGGGCCTAAGTGTTCAAGGAGACAGTATTACATTCAGTACACTGGTAGGCTGCCCATAACACTTGTCTATCAGAAGTACAATAAACAGGAGTTCTAAAGTATGTAAAGGGAAAACAATAGAAGGTAGACGATACAAAATGCCTTCCATCCCTGATTGAGGAGACAGGCTTGCACTTCTTTTTTCCCGGTTTTCCTTGCAGACGGTGCAGGGCCCTCAGTGGTGAGCAGGGCTTCCATCCACAAAGACAGAGCTGAATTTATTAGTATGTATTGGGCACACATTAGGAATAGAAGGAAGGTAGAGTGGTATCAAGACTCACTTTCACAAAAGGGTTTGATGAGTGCTTTTGAAACATCAATCCAGTCATTGTTGGAAATGGTGAATGCGGGAGTGTTCTGAACAGTCACTTTGCAGCAATGGCTTCTGTTTTTGTTTTTGTTTGTATGTGGAGAAAGGAACTGTCCACTTTAGAAAGTGGACAGGTTGTTCCAGCTAGGATGGAGAGTATCTTGGAGTCAATTTAGTGAGAATTAATTTGGAGAGATGGAACTGGATGATGAAGACTGTGTGAGTGTGCCCCCGCTCTCGTGTGTGTGTGTGTGTGTGTGTGTGTGTGTGTGTGTGTGTGTGTGTGTACATGAAAGTGAGTGCATGCACTAAATACTGGAGTGTGAAGGTGGAGGTCAGAGGCCAACATTGGGTATGTTTCCCTACTGCTCTCTCCCATGTTTTTAGAGACAGGGTCTGTTTCTCACTGAACCTGGAGTGTACACGTTTCGGCAAGACTGGATGGCCAGAGAGCTCCCCGGATGTGCCTCCTTTGCTCCCCGAGCACTGGGATACAGGTGTATGCTCTCATGCCTGGCTTTTTTTTTTTTTTTTTTTTTTTTTTTTTTTTTTGGTTTTTTGAGACAGGGTTTCTCTGTGTAGTTTTGCGCCTTTCCTGGAACTCGCTCTGTAGCCCAGGCTGGCCTTGAACTCAACAGAGATCTGCCTGCCTCTGCCCCTCGAGTGCTGGGATTAAAGGCGTGCACCACCACCGCCCGGCCATGCCTGGCTTTTTATGTGGATGTTGGGGATCTGAAGGCAGATCCTTGGCAGGCACTTTACTCACTCAGCCATCTCCACTGCCACTGGATGCTAAAGCTTTCAAAGCTGTGTGAAGTGGTTTCGGCTTTGTGAGTTCGGGAACTGCAAGTCATTGATGGTTCTGGAGCACAGTCCTGACAATACAAAAGACTCCAAGTAGATTAATATAGTACTCCAAGTTAGGATAGATTATGGGGACACACAAAAAATGGCTGTGCTAATCCACTGGTTCTCACATGCTTCAGCATCACCTAGAGGAGTTGTTAAAAGGAAAGTGACAGGACTAGAGTGAAGCCTGGATATCTTCATCTTCAACCAGGTCCTAAGTGATGCTGACAGGGAGTGTCATGGACCACACTTTAAGAACCGCTGCACAAATCCAAGCATATACCTGATACCTAGACCAGACTTCCCAAATGATGCAGAAAGGGCTTTAATTCTAAAGGAGAGAGAAATCGGATTGTGCTGCTTGATTCGATATTGTGGCAAACCGAGAGAAAGCATCCTAAATTGTCAAGTTTTCAACCTCACATTAGGTTAGACAGAACTAGATACGAGGGAAGTTTGAAGGAGTGATGGCTTAGGAGCGGAGTGAGAAAGGAAGAATGCAGCGTTCTCTTCCTCTAGCTATGTTATATGTCCATGTTCATGTATGTGTACATATGGGTATGCATGCATATGTATGTAGATATGTGTGAAGGTCAGGGGTCAGTGTCATGTGTGGTCGTTAAACTTTCTCCACCTTAATTTTTCGAGGCAGTTTCTCGCTGAACTTGGAGCATGCTGATTCAGTAAGAATAGCTGTCTAGAAAGCTGCAGAGGGCCTCCTCACCACTATCACCCAGCACTGGGATTATAGACACATTGCTATAGTCGATTTTTTTTTTAATGTGGATGCTGTGGATCTGAACTCATGTCCCCATGCTTATGTGGCCAGCGTTTTAGTAAGTTGACTGTCTTGCTAGCTCACCAGAGTTTTATTTTGGACATAAAAGTATGAATAACATTGCCGAATCCACGTACCCTGATGATATGGGGCTAATGTTGGAAATGAACACAGGTTGAGTGTGAGAAGCCTCAGAATGTTCTGCAGAGGGCTTGTGGTTGAAACCCAGTGAAAGGAGAAATTTTCCAATGGCCAGGAACGGGCACCTAGGGACAGCAAAGATGTGGGACCAGTAAGTTGGATAGAAAAGCAGAAAGGGATTTCTGATGTTACTACTCCGTAGAGCCTAAAGAGATAGCAGTTTTCAAAGACACAGGAATCATAGGCTAGATGCCTGGACACTTGGACATACCTGCTTGCTTACATCCTCCTTCTCTTATCCAGAATGACAAATTCCTTTCCACCTCCCACATCCAACAGAATCACCGCCCCCATGCAACTCTCTTAGGTTTTTTCCTCTTCTCAAGTAGACTTTCTTTGCTCCCTGCTCTGCACCAGAGGTTTTTTTTTTTTTTTTTTTTTTTTTTTAAAAAAACCCTCAGCAGTAGCTGGTTACATTTGTTTACCCTTCTGAGGCCTTGACCTTGGTGAAGTGTGGAATGTGGAACATTCAGAATGTTGTTTTCCAAAGTTGGCTCCAAGACACTCAGCTCAGTTGAAGGTACCGCCTGGCACAAGGACAAATCAGAAGGAAACATAGGCCTAGGTATGGGTCATTCTTTTCTCTGCTCTCTTCTCCAGAGGAAGGGAGGAAAGGATGGGAAGATGGAGAGCCAATTCTTCACCGAGGTTTGTTTAATGCTCGACTCTGCTGTCCCAAGGACAGGGAAAGAATACCATTACCCCCCTGAAAGTTCTTTGCTGGGAATTGAATTATACTTCCCAAAAGATACTTTGAAATCCTAACTAGCCTTTGCACTTCAAAAAGAGACTACCATTGGGAAATTGAGTGGCTGCAGGTATAATCACTAAAATGAAGCCTCACTGGCATGGGTTGGATCTTTAATCCCAGAAGATTGTTTTTGTTTTCAATAAGAAAAGGAGAGGGAGCCCTCAGAGAGAATGCTATGGAGGCAGAGGCAGAGGCAGTGATTAGACAAGGGATCTATGAACCAAGGGAAGCCAAGGATGGCCGTCCAGTGTGAGAAACTAGAGGAGGTGAGGAAGGATTCCTTCTGGGAGACTTTGGAAAGGGCATGCATGGTCTTGCCAGAGCTTTCAGACGTCTCTTAGACGTCTAGCCTCACAACTGCAAGAAAATACATTCCAGTTGTCTCTAGCCACCTAGTGGGAGGTTTGTAACAGCACTCTAGGAAACTAATTCACACTACTTGTAGACACTTCACAAAATACACTGAAGGGTAAATTAACCTCCCTAATTCCACCAATTGCTCATTTATTAGTATCTATCCTTAAGTTTTAAAAAACACTTTTTACATTTATTCCTTTTGTATGTGTGTGAGTGTGTGCCTGTGGAGGTCAGAGGACAGTTTGAGGGCAGAGGTTCTCTCCTTCCGCCATGTGGACCCCAGCGATTGAACTCAGGTATCAGGCTTGGTGGCAAGTATCTTTACCTGCTAAGCCATCTCTCTGGCACAAGTTGGTTTTTGTTTGTTTGTTTGCCTGGAAGCTCATTCCTATGTAGATAATTCCTTCTTTACAAAATTGAGCCCACCCTATTAGAAGAGAATTTTCACATTTAAGCAGAGAGCAGGCAATAATAGGCTTTGAAAGGAAGGAATTTTCATCTTCTGATGGGGTACTTTAGGATATTGAGACAACTTGGCAGAGGATGCTCTGAGGGTGTCCTGTCTGTGTAAACAGAAGAGGCGATAATGTGAAATTGTGGAGAGCAGGAGGGAGGAGAGTACCGAGAGGGGAAGTGAAGGAGAGGGGAGGAACGGGGGGCTGGATAACCAATGGAGTAGATAGGACCATCTTGCTCAACCAGTCTCATGCTTGCCCCAGCCTCTCATCATCAGGATCTTCTCCAGTGTTGTGGGGTTGGTTCATGCCACTGTATCTGCCTGTATCACGTCCCAGATACTCCAGTCTCTTTAGAGCAACTCCCTGTTCCACTTTTGACCTTGCAAAATGTTTCCTAACATGGATGGATTTATGCTACTGCCCCCACATTTACTAGGGTTCTTGGAGCTTCCTTAATAGCTCTTTTCAGAATGTAGCAATTAGTGCACTTTAAATCTCTCCTGAAATAATGGAAATCTTAGAAATTGTTCCAGAAACTATAATAAAAATGAAATGGCAACCTTCCTAATGTGCCACAGGCTTGATAGAGACACTCTCCTTTTCAAGGGTAAGTTTAATGACACTAATTGGAGGACTTGTGGAGTAGTTTTGTCATGAGAGTGTTCCCTGCCCTAGTTTACCCATAAGCTACAATGCTGGATCCATGGTGTTACCAGTGACCTCATTCGGCATCCATTTTGTTTTTGGCAGTAAAGCCAAATATAGACCATAGTTGAACACATACTGTGAATGAGTACTCAATATGCCAAGACTGTGTACAGTCTGTTGCATACAATGACTCTTGGATTTCAAAGACTCTGGTGGAGTTGACGGACAAAAGGTATTATGGCATTGAATCTCCCCATCATCTCATGGATAGTCTCCTCCCATGAGCACCACCCATGGTCTGACAGGAACATAGGTCCTCTCTTCTGCTTGTTCTGCTCCTTCTAGCTGGCAGCTGGCAGGAAGTGGGGGAGGCTGCCTTAGGATTTTACTGGCCATGGACTGAGCCTGTAGCTCAGTGCCGACTCCATGCGTGTGCCCTGGAAACTGCTGGAGGAGTACGTTCTAGGTCTTTCCTCAGTTGCCTGTCCCACGGAGCAAGTCTCAGCTTTCTGTCCAATGTTCTATAGAGAAAAGGGTGTGTGGATTACGTCTATGCCGCAAAATTAGGGTGTTTATTTCCTCCTCCCTTCCTCCCCCTCCTTCCCTCCTTCCATCTCTCCCTTCCTCCTTGCATGTGCAGTCTGTGCTGTGTCAATGCTAGAAAAGTGTTAACATATTAATCTTACCAGTATCAATATCTAGGTTTGTATATACCCTGGTGTTCTGAGGTATGCTGAAGGTAGAGTCCTTGTATAAACTTAAGAAAGGTTTAGGCTACTGACCTATGTTTTTCTTCTGGCAGGAGCATGAGCTTAATAAATGCTATACCAAAATGGCTTTAAAGATGGAAGGGTAAGCCTTGAGTATTGTTGATGGAAACATACAGGGGGACAGCCTCTTTGGAAAGTACCCTCAGAGGCTAAACATAAGTCTCATTCTTTGGGGGTAGACACAAATAATTGAAAACATACGTCTATCCTCAAATGTGGACAGGAATGTTTATTCCTGCTAACCCTAAAGTGGAAAGAACACAATTTTGCTTCACCTGATGAATGAGTCAATAAAATGTAGTCTGTCCATACAATGATGAGATGAAGTGCTAACGCATGCTGCAGGGTGGATGCAGCTTGGAGCATGCTGAATTAAAGGAGTCATTCCCAAAGAACCACATGTCATACAGTTTCACTTAGATGAACTGTCTAGAATAAGCAAATCCTTAAAGACAAGAAACAGATCAATGCTTGTCAGGGACTGGGGCAGGTGCAGATGTGGAGTGAATGCTAATGGCTGTGAGGTTTCTTCTCAAGGTAATGAAAATGGCCTGAGATTGATTGTGGTGTTGGCTGCACAACTCTGTATTTATAATGAAAAGCAATGGATTATATATACTTCCAATGGGCAGATCGTATGTGGGTTTTAGCTCAATGAAAACGTTCACTAGCTATCTAGATATAGATATTAGTATTGTCAGTCTTGTGGTGTGTTCCCAAACCACACCCTATACTTATTAAAGATACAGGCTGTCTCTGCATGATTTCAAAGTATCAAATAGACTTTTGGTTTTGACCTTGGGGAGGAGCATCATTCTGTATTTGCTGTAACAAAGAGGAGTGCTGCTTCCTTGATAACTAAGTAGGAACCAAGACCCAGTTTTTGGCCTTCGTTTAATAATATAGTTGCAACACTTTAATGGCATCTGAACAGAGTTGTAATTTAGGCCCTAAATTACCTTCCTGGACTGTTTAGGGTGTCAAATATAATAATCTTACACAGCATTAAAAATATAGAGGATTTTAACAACTGTATTTCTTAGCAGCTGAGTGCACATGTACTAAAAACTGATTTTGAAAACCATCCTTAAAATTTGGCTTTTCTTGCTGAAGATTTTCTCTGAATGATGCCCGCCATTATCAACACCCAAAGAATGGGATTACCTGCACTTTTTATTCTAATTCAGAATCCGATCTTTCCAAACCTGTAATCTGAATTTAAAACTCCCTAGAAGCAGTAGTGCTTTTCCTGAGAGAATTAGGAACCTCTGTGAATGCTGTGAGGATATGTACTAAGTCTAAGAGTTTGAAGATAGGAAAAGCCATTTCCCTTAAGGTGTTTTGTCTCCAGACCTCAGTGACCCCAGTAAGAAAGCACTGGATGGGCTGCATGTAGGTGGCCCCGCCAGCATCCTTTCATGTACTAAATGCTTAATGAGTCCATCTGCAAGGAGGGTAATTTGCTCACTGGGACATATTTTCCAGGACACTGATGGCTCCAGGTGGCAGGCAGTCCTCAGCTAACACGCGTTAGGTACAAAGTGTTCTTGTCTTCCTCTTCGTGGCCTTTCAGTCTGTAAGGCATTAGCAATTCCCCTCGCTCGCAGGCTCTCTCAGCCTTTAACAGCCCTTAAGTGCCCATGCAAGGAGCAAGGAGCATTAGACAGTTGCACCTTGCTTGCGTGTCGTTAGCTCATCAAAGCAAGGCAGAGCTGGAGCTGATGCCGACTCAGGCAAACTTCCCCCATTGTAGCTTCCTGCATCTGTTTGTTCTGGAAATCAGATGCAGCCTGAGATGAGAAACAAATCTGGTCTATGCCGAAATCAATTATATCTACACTTAATTACAAGGGCAGAGGAAAGCTCAGTGTGTTGGGTAGGGTTTACAGGCTTCTTTCCTGAAAATTTGTATTCCTCATGAATGATGGTAGACTGCATTTACTGTTTTAAATGCAATACTTATGGGGTGTAATCAAGACACTGTTTAGTGTCATGACAAGATAATAATAGTAGCTAATATGTATTGAGTCATGGGTAAGTATATTTCTGTCTTTACCCAAATTAAACCAAGAGTCAGAGTTTGTTCAGGGGGCTACTGTTCAGAAGAGGTCAAATGGGTCTGAACTTAGAATGTTCTTTTAACCACATTAGCACATTGGTTAGAGGGGAGGGCCACAAATAATGGCACAATTTCAAGGTTAGACTGAATTCTGACTTGTGCTTAATATCGGGACAGACGGTAACCTACAAATAGATACAGTTGTGCTTAGATTTGATTCTGAGCCTAATGGTGTATGTAATTATATGATTGCTACTATTAGTGCATGCTACTGTTTGCTGAGATGCCAAAGTTTGTGTTTCATGCAGGAAGTGAGACTGGCAACCGCAGCTGAACTTGCTAACGCTGGTAATTAGCAAAGCTCTCACGTAACTAAATGAACCATTTGCCTTTGAAACCAGTACGAGAATGGAAGTTTAGTCATCTACCTGCCATTCCAATCTGCCTCTTTAAAATACTAATTTAAATCAGATTTGTTTTTTGAAAGATGCATAAAACCCCAAATTGTATACATTTATGAGGTACCGTGTCATGGCTTGATCCGTGTTGAAATCATCTTATAGATATCTGTCTCCTCAAACACTGATTGTTTCTTAATGCTAAAAACATCAAGAATTTTGTAGCTTTTTGAAATCTGTATCAGGCAGTTCCTATTTAAAATCACCCTAGGGAGGAGCAGTGGACCACAGTGTCTTGTTCCTCTAAAATAGTGACTTAGTATCCATTAATCAATCTTTCCTATCTCTCTTCTCAACCTGCTTCCCCAGTCTCTGGTCTCCTCTCCGTTTCCTGTGTACGAGCTAAGTCACGTTGTACTGTTTTTCTGTGCTTGCCTTACCTCATCAACATGTTTTTCCAGTCTGCCTCTTTGGTCCTTAGTTTGGGTGCTGATGTAAGCATATTGGTTAGCATGATGTAACCCGTTCCTCCCTTCCCATGCAGATGTCCTGTCTGATTGGTCACCTCTGCACGATGCTGCCATCCATGGATGCCTGCTCACCCTGAGGAACCTTATCAGCCAGGTAGCTCTAAAAATAACAACAGTATCAAGTATATCCCATTGCTATACCAGACTGAGAAAAAAGAAATAACAGAGCGATAGTAAAACAGACATTTCCTCTTAAGCAAAATCAGAAAAATGAGGTGAATCTCACTGTAATAACCATTTCCTTCTTTGTAGGCTATCATAATGTCAGTGTTTTGTGCAAAGTTAAGCACACGGTGGAAAGCATGCTAAATACTTGTTAAATGAATTACCAGAAAGTGGTCATTTATGTTCCTTTCAGTTTTCTAAATAAACTGTGTTCTTATATTTATCGGGGGAGATGGTTCAGTCAGTAAAGTGCCCACTGGAAAGCATGAAGACCCAAATGGGAAGTCCCGGAACCCACATAAAAACAACAAACAGTAAACGGGGCACAGTGGCACATGTCGTAATGGTAGCACTCAGAGGACAGAGACGAGCGGATCCCTGGAGCTACAGTCTAGTCAGTTGATGAGTGCTGGGTTCCACAAGAGAGCCTGTATCAAAAGACAAGGCGGTGAGCAAAAGACACTGATTTTCTACCTCTAGCCTCCATGTACACACAACACACGGACTTGCACCACATGAGCAAATTCATCTTGCACTGTATGGATTTTCAAGTGCAGCAGTTGTGTCTCTCGGGGATCATTTGTAGAGCCGCCATTGGTCGTCGTACTAGAGTGGTGCTGATGCAGCTGGTGGGTAGAAAACAAGGAAGGTGTTAAGGGTCCTCCAGTGTATAGGACAGCCCCCGTGTCAAAAATTAGACAGCTCTAAATGTCAGCAGCACAAGGCTTAAGAACTCCCGATGTGCTTGAAAATGTCCTTTTATATATGTAGTCTTATAATTTCAGTGATATTTTCAGTTTGGTCAAATCCCCGGTTGCCTGTGGCTCTCAACAGTTTGATTTTAGTTTTCTTCTCCTTAGGTGTAATTTGCCTGTACTTCCTGATTTTTGTCGGTTTTAAATTATTAGAGTCCTTTGCAAAGACACTGGTTAAAAAGCAGTTTACATCCTAACAAAGTCTTTGTTCAGAAGAGTCTAGTCGCTAAAATGTCACTATGTTTGTGAGTCTGTGTGTGTGTGTGTGTGTGTGTGTGTGTGTGTGTGTGTGTGTGTATGTGTGTGTGTGTGTGTGTAGAGTTAGGGTTGGAACCCAGGACCTTGTCCAGGACAAGGTATCTTGCTCTTTTGCAAGCCAGCAAAATCTATGGACACATTATCAAATAAAAGTTTTAAGTACATAAAATATAAATCAGGGAAAACCTGTCAAAATATTAAAACAAATGTGTGATGTAATAACATATGGACTTTTAGATTGATTTGTTAAAGTTTTAGCTGTGATTTTGAAACTACCATGATTTCTAAGCAGGGTGAGACTATCTTAATTATGATTCACTGAAAATATCTGTGATAGCTATGAATGATAATGCTATTAATTTCAGAATACATAAAAGCAGTGGAAATAAAAGTGAATTCAGAAAACACCTCAATTTCATGAACCTATCTAAAATAAGAAATTTGTCTATAAGAATACTATTTCCAATGAAAAATTTTTATTACCCTAAGCTACTGTGTTAAGGTAGTTTTGGAAGTAGCAGCCTATTATAAATGGATTCTAACACATAATTGTAGCTAAAAGAAGTTACTTTACTTAGGTAAAATGAAATAACTTATGCTATTTGGATAATACGAAAAATGATCATTGGTACTTTTTTTTTTTTGAGACAGGGTTTTTCTGTGTAGCTTTGCGCCTCTCCTGGGACTCACTTGGTAGCCCAGGCTGGCCTCGAACTCACAGAGATCCGCCTGGCTCTGCCTCCCGAGTGCTGGGATTAAAGGTGTGCGCCACCACCACCCGGCAATCATTGGTACTTTTATGTATCGCTTGTTTCATTTGAGTTTTGTCTGTTTTATTTTTATTTGATGTTTATGGGTGTTTTACCTGCATGTATGTTTGTATACCATGTGTGTGCAGTGCCTTAGGAAGACAGAAGAGGGTGCTGTGACCTCTGGAACTAGTGTTATAGATGATTGTGTGCCACCATGTTGGTGCTGGGAATTGAACTCAGGTCCTCTGGAAGGGCAGACAGTGCTCTCCACTGGTAAGCCATTTCTCCAGCCATATGTATCACTTGTTAACAAGAAAGGTGCTTGTTTATATTTGATATTTATATATTTACTGACGATCAACTTAGAGCCAATTCTATCAGGGCAGTTAAGTGAGTAGTCATGTTTGGACATCAATCCCTGCCTTTATAAAATGCATCTTCTAACACCCACCTTTATTAGTCCACCTTGAAACTCAGAAACAAACACTCATCCCAATATAGTGGCAGGATACCCTAACCATGCCTTCTTGCTAATGAATGCTTGAGTCAGTTGACATAAGCTTGACTTGGCTGGGCTCATCATCTCTAAACTGTGGCGCACATGTCCCTCATCCTTCTTTGACCTCTGGCTGCCTAAGGGATTTTCTTTTCTTGGCAAAAGGCTGTTAAATCATCCAAGGATGGAATGTTTCCAATCCCGGTTTATGCTACATCTGCTAACATTGAATTGGGTAAATCAAATCAAGGGAAGAATATATTTTGTCAACTATGATGTACATACCGCAGTGAAAGTAGATGGATGAATCTGACCCAAAGTGGCAAACACACACACAGAGTACATGCTACTTGGGCCAGTTAACGAAATGTTAAACACGTGAGAGAAAACTGAATGTCCAGTGTTAGACGTCAGCTCAGCATCCCTTTGGGTACCAGAGGTGGGATTAGTCTGGGTGGCATCTAGATATTTTCTTTCTTTCCCTGTATGGGGATTACACAGGTATATTTTCTTTGTGGTGATTCACTGAGGTGACACTTAGGATTTGTGAGTTGTTTAATATATCTGTTATATTTCAATAAAAATCATTAAAAACTGACAATGGTGTTTGTTAGGTCAGCAGAAAGTAAGCTGCCGTAGATATAACATTGAACTTAATTTAGTGCTTTCCCTGCAGATTTTGTGTTAGAATTCTCATAAGATCCTGTGTGGTGGGAGTTTTAAAATTACAGATTCATCACTGGGCCTGCTAATGTATGACTGTAATCCCAGATACTCAGGAACTGAGGCTAGAGGACTACAAGTTCAAGGCCAGCCTAACATACCAAGTATGTTCAAGCCCAGTCTCAGATCCTATCTCCCTTTTTTTAAAACGGGCTGGCCTGGGGTGGGGTGGGGTGGCTCAGTGGTTAAAGTGCTTGCAGCTCAAGCCTAAGGACTAGAGGCTGGATCCCAGAACCCGTATCAATGCCAGGTGGGGATCCCACCTCAGCAGCAGAGACAAGAGACCCCCAGAGCAAGCTAGCTGGCAAAACTAGTCATGTCTGCAAGCTCTGGGTTTGACTTATAGAGCCTCCACCAGTGAATAAGGAGGAAGTGCAGTTCTAGACATCGACCTTTGTTCTACACAAGTGCCTGTATGCAGGTGTAGCCATATGTGTACACTCACACATATGCAAACATTCACACACATGCACATAGCACACACAAACATGAAAATAGAAACAAAAAACAAAAAAAGAAGACAAAAAGGGACAGAGCAGTTGCCTAATGAATGACAGGTTCGATCCTGAGTGCTCTAACAATGAAGCAAACAAACAGCATGCTGGATGTATTGGGCCTGCTCTCATTATGTTGCCACCACTCTGGGATGTAGCCTGGGTACCAGGACTCTTTGAAAGCTTCCTACATGATTCCTCTATGTAGTCCCAACCAAGAAACCGCTCAGTTAAGTTCTCACCACAAGCAAGTAGGGAAGAGTAGATTTTTATCCTATGGAAACTTGAGCAAAACTGTTACTCCCTCTTGCCTGTTTAGGGTTTCTAGTGCTGTGATAAAACACCATGGCCAAAAGCAGCTTGGGAAGGACAGGGTTTGTCTCAACTTAGACTTCCAGGCAGCAGTTCATCAGTGAGGGAAGTCAGGGAAGGAATCAAGAGGCAGGAATGATGCATAGGCCCTGGAGGAGGGTTACTTACTGGCTGCTACTGATGGCTTACTCAGCCGACTCTTTCTAGAGTACTCAGGACTACCTGCCTAAGGACGGTATGGCCCACAGTGAGCTGGGCCCTCCCACATCAATCATCAATCAGGAAAAAGCACAATACAGGCTTGTCCACAGCCAATCTGGTGGGGACATTTTTTTTCAACTGAGGTTCCCTTCTGAAATGACTCTAGCTGTTTTCAAGTTGATTTAAAATTAGCCTGCACAGATACCCACTGGGATCTTTAAAAGGCTAATTAAAGATCAGGACAGAAACAAACTCACTTGTATTTAGGAACTGGCAGCAGACTGAAGGCTAAGTGAGAAAGAAGAAGAAATCCCAGATAGTGTTGGCCTGGCAATTAACTGAGTGCTAAACTTTTGCATCCATCGTTTTCCAGTCTTCTTAATAATCTTAGAAGGCAGGTGAAATTGTAGCCATTTTGCATATGAGCATGTTGAACCTTAGGGATATGTAACTGGTTGCTACTCACACTGCTTGCTAGGTCCTCGTGCTGGTATTTGAACTTGGGAATCTCTTTGCCGTTCTACCTCCTGAGGTCTCAATTCTAGAGATCAAGCAAGATCATAATGCCACTGAGAGAAATGGTATTGACAAGGATTTTTTTCTTAGATTGGAAAAGGCTGAGTTTATATTGCTAGTTGGGTCCCTAGGTAATTGTCTTGGTAGAATTAGAAAATGTACCAGGGATGATTAAGAGCATGGGTGTGTATGTGTGCATTTGCATGTAAGCAACATAGAAAGAATTTACAGAAAAGCCAAACATGAGAAGGAAAACTTTAAGGAAATACCCATTGTGGGAGAGGTACAGAGGAAAAGACAGAGTCCGTGAAAGAGAAAAACCCATGATTTGAAGGTGGAAATCAGGTAGAACAGTATGTCAGAAGCCAGAGGAAAGCTTTCTGGAGGTCAGAATGAATAAACAGCAAAGTCAGAGGTGGAAGGACTTGGAAGACTGCGCACTGCATACTGGGTTGGACAAAGAAGTCACTGGGGACCTTTACTTATTTTTATTTTGTTTTCTGTGGAGCTTACAAAGCAGCAGGTTTACTTAGGGCATTTACATACAATCCAGGTTTACTTATGGCATTTGCATAAGTCTTAGTTTTGGTTGGCCTTCTCCTACCTTCTCTTTCCCATCTTCTCCCTCAGTTCCAATGAAGGCCTTTCACCCTCTGCTGGATTGTAGCTTCCATTTGAAGATCATTAAGAGAAGTTTGGGCAGGATTGCGTAGTGGAAAGGAATATCAGGTGGAAGACAATACAAAGAGTAGAGGTCATTTTTTTTGTGAGGGTCGCGGAGAGGGGGGGATAGTGAAAGGAAGGAGGATGTTGAATGATGCCTTGGCAGACTCAAGGACAGGAAGGTGCAGGAGACACAGATAAAGTGTGTCTGAGGAGAGAGAACTGGGCATGGGCAAATGTAAGAAGGCAGATGACGGAAGCTCTTATGAGTGGAGGCAGAGCCCCATAATTCCAAGGGCTGTCAGGCCAAGTGTGCACATTTCTTCCTCAGAGAAAGCTCCAAAGGGAAGGAAGACCATGGAAGGTGCAGACAGACTTTAGGGGTGGGGACAAGGGGGGCATAGAGTGTCATATCAAATGGCTGTGATCTCCTTGGTGAAGTAGGAAGGGAGGGAGGGAGGGAGGGAGGGAGGGAGGGAGGGAGGGAGGTAGTCACCAGCTTCCTTTCTGATGAGTGTAGAGAAGGAAGTGGTAACCAGGGACAGGAAAGCTGACCAGCCTAAAGGTCTCTGTGGTTGGCTTCACCTAGGTGGACACATGACACTTTGTGTTATAACAGAATGTCACAATCCTGTACAACCCAAGCAACCTACCAAAAAAAAAAACCTGTGTGGCTCTGGGCTGAAAAGAGGTGACAACTGCTAATAGAAACATTAAAAACAAGCCATCCAGTCAATATGTGTTCATGCAGGCAGATCCCACTGTGGACTAAGTAACTGATGAAAAACTACCCCCGATGTTATATGATCCAGATTTGTCTATTAGTTAGAGTGTATAAGATCATTGAAAGTACAGCTGTGGCCCGATGAACTGTACATAAGGTCCTAAATGGTCAGAAGGAGAACTAAAGGAACTTGGTTGTAATGTGAATATATAGTGTATGGTGAAAAGGTTTCACATTGGGACTAATTTCCATGTTGCCTTGTGTTTGCCTGGGTTTATGTACAAGTTCCCAAATGCTGGCTTTGAAATGGTGGTCATAGCTAGAGGGCTACTTTGTAGAATACAAAATGAGTGAAAAATTATGTTAAAAGGACAGCTGTCTTTCATTTCATGATCTGTTGCACAGGTAAAATGCAGTTGTGTATGTGTGTGTGTGTGTATGTGTGTGTGTGTGTGTGTGTGTGTGTGTGTGTGTGTGTGTGTGTGTGTGTGTGTGTGAGTTTTACTGGAAATTGAACCTAGGGCCTTACACATGTTTGGCAGGCAATCTACTACTGAACTATGCTACCAGCCTTTTTTTTTTTTTTTTTTGAGTCAGGGTTTCATTAAGTTGCTGGCTCTAACCCTTGAACTTTGCTCTGTAGCCCAGGCAGGCTTTGATATTGTGATCCTCCCACCTCAGTCTCCTAAGCAGCTGAGACTGCAGCATGAATGGTGTAGATCAGACAAATAGGAGAACATTGAGAATGAAAAATCAAAGAAAACAAGAAGATTTGAGGCGGTGCTTTCACTAAAGTGAACAAATGAATGACAGTGGCCCTAGTAAAATAACAAGTGGCGGGTTGTAAAGTCCGGAGTGATCCTTGTGAAGGGATACATTCAGTCAGTTAAGTTCTTCCAGTGTCGGGGCATCGGGAACCATGTTTTAAGGAGTCCTGGTGTAGAGATGGGATTCGAGGTTCTGGAGGGAGGGCAGCTGTAGTCTCTTCCTTCCCTGTAAACAGCAGAGTGGGGATGGAGAAAGACTGTCAAGGGCACTGGAGCCTCTCATTCACAAACATATTACGGCAAGTCTCCCAGAACCCTTTCCCGGGCTCTGGATCTGAGCCCCTGTGCACCGGGGTGTAAGCACACAGTGATTTGATATCTCAAAATGTGTGACCACGCTGATCAGAGGGTAAAAGCCAAATGCACAGAATGATAGTGGCTGACCCAATGCCTACAGAAGTAGATAAACATGTGTCAGGACTAATGGAGAGTAAGGCCATTTATTGGAACAATTTTGGGCAACTTTATACTATTCCAGGAAGGAAAGTTATAATACATATTTGAGTCATTGATTTAAATTAGGGATGCATAAGGGCTAGAGGAATAGCTCAAGTGGATAAGAGCATTTGCTACACAATTATAAGGACCTGAGTTCAAATCTCCAGAACCCATGTGAAAAGTTGATTGGTCACATGTACCTGCAATCTCAGCAGTATGGGGTGGGGGTAGGGAGGGAAGAGATAGAAGGATTACTGGGATTTTCTGACTGCCAATCGAATGCCAGGTTCAGTGAGAGACCCTGTCTCCTGGGCATAAGGATTGTGATAAAGTAGGACACAAGCACCTAAACACACGTGTGTCTACATACCTGCATACCTACACACACACACACACACACACACACACACACACACACACACACACACACACACACACTTAAAAACAATCCTAAGCATACATAGATTAAAAAGTACTTTTATTGTATCCATGTCTCCCAGAACAACATGTTCTAAGACTGGGGCTGAGGCTGGGCTGTGGAACTGCTCCTGGACCTCTTTGCATGTTCTGCTTGGGCTCATGATCTACTAGTTCCTGGACTATGCATTTCCCGGGAGGGTGATGGATCCTAAGGATAAACTTTCAGACTTCTTCGCATTTCCGGACTTTGAGGGCCTAGTGTGGGAATGCAGATGTCCTTTGCTTTGGGACTTTTTATCTATGGAGGTTCACCTAGTGCTTTGGCCCTGTAACATTTGGCCCACATCACTTGCTGTGTAAAAAATGCTCCAAAGTTAGCAACATGAAGCAACAAACATGGCTTTGTTATAGACTTTGTCAGGAATTTAGACAACATTTTGCTGGGGTTGGGACTCTCAAAAGAAAGTCTTACAGTCACTGTAAGGCTTGACTAACCGAAGATCTGTATCCAAGCTCACTGAGGCAGTAGCTGACAAGATTCAACTCCTTTTGAGTGGTTGGACTGAGGGTGTCACTTCCTGGCTGGTTGCTGGGCAGAAGCCACCCTTATTTTCTTGACAGGGACTTCACCAGAATAAGCTGATAAGTAATGCCAACACTAAAGAGAGTGAGCCAAATAAAAGCTGTTTAATCTTGGAAACAACCTTTTATGACCTTTATATATTTTCTTAATTAGAAGCAAATCTTGGTACGAATGTAGCTCAGGCTTAGCATGTGCAAAAGGATGAGGAGGAGGAAGAGAGAAGAAGGGGAAGAGAGGACGTGGAAGGGAGGTGGAAGAGTAGAGGAAGAACAGTGGAAGAGCCTGGGAGGAGAAGAGGAGGAGGAGGGAGACCGGAGAAGGAGGAAGAGGCAGCATCAGCAAATACCCCAGTAAAGGGGAGACGAGTACACAGGCTGTTACTCCCAAGAGACAAGACTCGCTGGAGGGCTTCCCAGCCACACACATGTAAGCCAGGCAAGCAGAGGCTCACGCACGAATTCTGTCCCTCACTCTCCTGTCTCATACTTGTCCTTCTCAGTAAGTACTTGGTGAAGCCCGGTGTTAAATTGAGCATGATGGCAAGTTCTCTATCCATTGAGCTACATCGCTAGACTCCTAGGTATCTGTTTCTTGAGTTTATATAATTAAGAGGGAAATGACTGAGCTGCTGGCTTCAGTAGATCCTGGTAAAGTCATTTCCTTTGCGGTTATATTATATTAGGCTCTCATTTGCACTGTGTGATGGGCCATTTTTTCTGGTCCTTTTGTGCTTACCCTACAGTGAATACTTCAGTAGACTTATTTTTTTAACCTGACCATAAGATTTAACTTTTCAGAGAATTCCCATAGCAATGGAATTATTCAGCTAAAAACCACACTGAGGATACTGTTGCCTTCTCCTCCCTTTTGAGCCCATTTCTCTTTTTCTAGGGCTGGCCTGTAAACATCATCACAGCGGATCATGTGTCTCCGCTCCATGAAGCGTGCCTGAGAGGTCATTTACCTTGTGCAACTGTTTTACTAAGTCATGGAGCTCAGGTAAGTGAAGCTTAAATAAAAGAAACAATATCAAAAAATGAAAACTGGCTATTTCTGTCCCTCGGAATAATTTCCCGTACCTTTGATTAGTCTGATTTGAAATGTAAAGAGTGGTACTTTTCAAGAGTATCACGTCCATCAAGGTCATATGCTTTACTGGGTGGTGAACTATTTAATTTTTAGCTAGAAAGTTACATTTAGTTACTTTTCTGGTGCTGTGATAAAACATCATGGCTAGAAGTAAGTTAAGGATGAAAGAATTTATTTGGGCTTACGGTTCCAGAGGAATAAGAGTCCATGATGGAGAGGCATGACTGCAAGAGTAGGCAGGGCAGCAAGAGCGGGAAGCTGAGAGCTTGTGTCTTTACAACCAAACAGGAAGCAGAAAAAAGGAAGTGGTTAAAGAGGTTCAAAGACAAACTTCCTCTAGCAAGGCCACAGCATCACCCCAAATAGTCCCACCAACTAGGGAGTAAGTGTTCAAATACCTGAGCCTATGGAGGATATTTCTTCTCTGTCTCTCTCTTTTTTTTCTGATAAAGGGTTTCTCTGTATAGCTCCGGCTGTCCTGGAACTTGTTCTGTAGACCAGGTTGGCCTTGAACTCACAGAGATCTGCCTGCCTCTGCCTCCCGAGGGCTGGGATTAAAGGTATGCACCACCACACCTGGCCTATGGGGGATATTTTTAATTCAAACCACCACAAAAGTCATGTGTAGAGTCTGAAGCATTTTCCTTATCTGACAGTATTAATAAGTATTGCTACATAATTGTAAGCTCTCTGCCTTTATGACTCTGGCAGGGAATGGACTGCTGCAGAAAAGGTTAGGAATTCAGCTAGGGATGGCTGGGGTGCCAGAGTAAGAACATCTCTGTAATCTCTCATCCTTTAGCAAGCATCCTAGATTTGTTCACAGGAGAGCAGGGATTGCAAAGGCAGCAAAGGAAGGCAGGCCTTTCTCTTGCTCATTTACCATTGTCATATTGGCTAAAGTACGTCATATATGTCATATAGGCAAGCCCAGACCCAAGTATTGGAAAAACAGCCTCCATCTTGTGATGGGAGGGGCTGCAGAGCCACGTTGTAAAGGAATATGCACTGTGGGATAGAAAGAGCCTCTGGCCAGTTTGGAACTAACACAGAGTCATAGGATTGATAGAGATTATTGGGAGCACATACAAGTGTTCATCTATTTCCAGTGGGGTGATCAAAAGGGGCTCTCTACAGGAAATGATGTCTAATCTGAAACAGAAGGACCTCAGAACCAGTCAGCCAAATGGGGAATTAAAGGAAGGTACAGCCTTCGGATGCATGAGACACAACAGAACAAAAGCCTGGAAGGAAAATTGGGCAAATTTTACCAACCCATTTCTTTGTCAGGAGAACAGTGGGTGAGAAGGTTTCTTGTCAGTTATGATGAGAACAGGGCCAAGGCTAATGGGAGGTGAAAGAGGCAGCTGGGATGGAGACATTAAAGAAACAGTCACTCTGGATCCTGTGGTACTATGGGACCTGGAGGGTAAGCATCTCCTATGTGTCATCTAGGTCTTGGCCTTCCTTGGAAAGAGGGTGTGGCAGTGAATTCTGTTCCCCCCACAATATCTTCATTTAACACATACATCAGATTATATGACAAGGTGGAAGAGTCTGAGTGGATTTGGGCTTGCTCACTAGTGTTTGTTTGTAGCTCAAACATCATGTCATGGATGCTAGTTTGTAAATTTCTGTGAAATTTCTAGCATTAGAAAAGAATAGCTCCAAAATCTAGAATTTTATGGTGGTGTTAACCAGTTCTGTGTCTATTTGCAAGCGTAGTTAAGTAGCATATTGACTGACTATATAAATTCTTCTTTAATCAGACCGTATTATCTTACCAATTCTCTCATTTGTGAATGAATTGAATAAAACCTTTGGTATGTGTTAAGCATATTTGCATGAGAATCAACCTTTAAATGAAAAAGAATAGGTTTTTTTTTAATCAATTTTAGATTACTCTGGCTACTGCCTAGGATGGATGTTTAAAATGGAAGTGTTAATTTGTAAGCTATGCTATGGAAATTATCACAACTAGCTTTAAAGTTCATAACCCCAAGGAATGAGATCGAATCTTCAGTGACATTATTACTGCCTTATATTTTATACTTCATGACAGTTTGGTGGCCCTCATTTTATATAAAAGGATGAACTTTAAGGCTCAGAAAAGTTAAAAAAAAACCGTTTTGACAGTGGGATGGTTAACCTTGAATTTGGTCCATATTAGTCACTGTCTTCATCCTGGAGTTGGATTTTCTTCACAGGTGAACACCATGTCTATAGACTGGCGAACCCCTTTGTTTAATGCCTGTGTGAATGGCAGCCAGGACTGTGTGAATCTGCTTCTGGATCATGGAGCCATTCCTCAACCTGAGAGTGATCTGGCCTCTCCCATCCACGAGGCTGCAAAGAGAGGTAAATCTATTGGGAACTTTAGGATTTTTAACCCAGTCCTCCAAGAAAGCTCTTACTACTGAAAGGAGAGAGACATTTTGGAGAAGTAGTTTTCAAAAGGTGCCTGGTAATAGGATCATCAGTATGACGGGGCTTGTGAAGGCAGAGTCTTGGGTCCTGCTCTAGCCCAGATTGATGCAAATCTCCCTAGGGGTTCTGATGCACAGTTACTTGAGATCACCCTTTCAGAGCTATATTTTCATAACAAGGGATGGTACATACATAGTAGACTATGGACCTTTGTGAAATACTTTGTGAAAAAGCCCATAGAAATCAAGGCTTTTTTTGTTAGTCCATATTTAATTGTATGAAGCAATAGGGTTCATACTAACATTTTCATTCAAGGCTATCATGTACCTCAAATATATTCAACCCCATTTTCTTCTCCTGCCCTTCTTCCTCTTCTCAAGTAGTCCCGTTTCTGTTTTTATGGTGTATGTACACATACATGTTCATGTGTGCATGTGCTTGTGAACACATATGTAATCTAGGTTCCACATATGAGTGAATGTGTATTTTGTATTTGTTTTTCTGGGTTTGGCTTATTTTGCTGAATACGATGCTGTCCAATTACATTAATTTTCATGTGAACAATATAATCCCATTCTTCTTTATGGCAGAATAAAACTCTGTGTTGTGCACATACCATATTTTCTTTATCTATTCAGCTGTTAATGGAGACCTGTGCTGATTCAGTATCTTGACTACTGTGAACCATGTTATGACGAACCTGGGTTTGCAGCTATCCCTGTGGTACATTGGCTCAGGTTCCTTTATTACATACCCAGGAGTGTTGGTGTAGCTGAGTGGTCTGGTAATTTCATTGCAGTTTTTCCGGAGGACCTCCGTAATGATTTCCATTGTGGGTGTCCTAGTTCACATTGCCACCTGCAGTGGATAAGAGCCCCTTACTGGCGTTTGTTGTGCTTTCTAAAACTTTCATTTCCTATTTTAGGGTGGTAATAGTGGCTTAGGGTCATCTAAGTTTGGCAAGTGAACCATATTTTTAAGTTGAGGAACGATAAGATTTTCTATCAGTTCAGGCAGGGATGATCTCAGTTTCTTTTCCTGTTGCCATGATAAAATACTCCCACCTCTGTTGAAAGCAACTTAAGGGACAGACGCTTTATTTTAGCTCACAGTTCTCAACACAGCCCATCTTGGTGGGGAATTCAAGGCAGTGGGAGCCTGAAGCAGCTGGTCCCATGCATGGCATCTACAACCAGGAAGCAGAGGATGATGGCTGCACACACGCTGCTAAGCATGATTTCTCCTGCCCAGGGAGGGAATGGTCCCGTCTACAATTGAGATGAGTCTCACATACTAAGTAAAGTAATCAAGATAATCCCTCATGGAATTTCCTGGGAGCCAAGCTTAATCTCGATAATTCCTCACAAGTGTGCCTGGAGGCTTGCCTTCTATTGGATTCTAGAGTCTGTCAAGTTGACAGTCGTCACAAGGGGGTAAATCTTTCTATAAAGTAAGATTTGAAATTTTACTTTTCTCTGGTGTTTAATCGTCACTGGCATGGTTATACTTTGCTGGAGGACTTTGTTTCTCCAGTGGCTTTCCAGAATGGCTTTGCATCCACCCAGACCAAACCATGTTGCAATTAACTGGGAAAGCATTACCATTTCTTTATGAAGAGCCATACTAACTCAACATATTTACTGGATACATACAGCTAAAATGGTTCAACATGAGCCCCCCCCCCCAAAGGGGAAATGCTAAAAGTATGACATTCTGGGCCAAGGCAGAGTCAATCTGCTTTGACCAAACTTGATTTGCCAGACTGGGCCTTGCTCCCATGGGATTTGGCAGGGTCTAAGACTTGCCTGTCCTTACTGTGGCCTATTCCTTCAGCCTTCGAAGGCTGTAAGCTTCCTTCCCTGCCCTGTGATGCATTCCATGTCCTTCTTCAGGACCGTCTTTAGCCTGTTTCTCCGTGGCTCACAAGCACACACAACAATTGATGGAGGTGAGTGGCTGTCGGTGGTTTTCCATGGCTGGTGAACGCAGGTGCCATTCTACCCACAGCTGTGGATGTTGATGGTTGGAGTCTGCTCTTTGGCTGACCCTCCTCTTGGTTTTATGAACCAAGGCAAAAGCCTCATTCTCCTCTTCATGATGTGGCTAGGATGTCCAGTGGGGGAGCTGACCTGATGGACTTTGGAACAGACATTTACTCTGATGCTAGCGTTGAAAATTATTCTCCATTCTAGAATATGGCTTTTGATTGCTGGAGGTGTTGGGGACACGTTTAAACAGACAAACTGTGGGGACTGTTGTTTAGGGAATTTGTGCGGTAACGCTTTTCTTCTTTTGTGCGCTGTAGGCCATGTGAAATGCATCGAGTCCCTTGTAGCTCATGGGGCCAATATTGACCATAACATCAGCCACCTGGGCAGTCCTCTCTATGTGGCTTGTAAAAACCAGCAGATAGCCTGTGCCACGAAGCTTCTGCAGGCAGGTAAGGTGAAAAAGCAAAAACAAAATGAGGTGTGAAAACGAAAAGTGAACTGAGTGAATCTTAACGATCCTTCCATCTAGAGGAAGGAGTGTGGGCAAGGGGCTTGAGCAAGGCCACCCTGTCCTGATGGGAACTTGTTCTACATCGTCCCCACTTCAGTTCTCTCACTTCTTAGTCGCATGACAGTGAAGAAGAGGAGGATGATGACACCACCCATACCTTCTTCTTCAGGGTGGCCCTCAATGATCACTAGCTGTTCCCCCCTTTCCTCTGCTTCTCTCTAGCTGGACAATCATATGATTCAGCTTGGAAAAGCTTCCAAGGCGGCTGGCTTTTAGCTGACTCTTCCTGTTTGGGACTGTCTTCCCCATTTCTTTCTGATTAGGAACTTAGTCTGCCATAAACATTTTCCTTTTCTTGAAGAGATGTACTATCTTTCCATAGCTCCCTCTGGCTGTCCAGTCCCCTTCTCAACACTGGGAACACTATGGCAACTCTTTAATTATTTGAATTCTGTTCCTCCTGTAAGACCCAGGAGTTGCTCCCTGCACGGACTTTGCTGGTTGTGTTCCCTGTTTCTTTTCACTTCTCTGGTAGCATGTCTAATTTACCAGTTTTCTCTGCCACCCTCACTCCTTCCTATTACTACGTGTAGGTGGATTTTAAGCTTTGAGACATTTAAAGCTCTTATGCAGAACAGGACCATGTTTGGCATCTCTCACAAAACGAAAAAGTATTATTTAAAAGCAACTCAATTAACACTTGTTGACTGGGCATCGGTTTTTGTGGAGGGACATCAGCTCAGGTGAAAGTGTGAGCCTGCATATACCTCAGTGAGAAGCAGACTCGGAATTGGGGTGGGGATTATTTAGAGGGCAGGTAGAGTTGGGTGGAGATAGTCCCATAAGTCCACCTTACTCCTAAAGAGAATTTGCCACCCTTCCTGTGGTAACAGGATCCATTATTCCAACTTAGGGAAAAAATGTCTTCCTTAATTGGCTGTGTTTAATGAGCCAGCTCACACAGTCTCAAGTCTTTAAATGCAGTGCTGGCTGCTCGGTGTATGAATCTGGCTTCGGGATGTATGCAGGCTCCCCATCTAGCCCCATTCTTGGTTTGTACTAATACTTACACTGCATTAATAATGGATGTACAGCTTTCATGCTACCCAGATTTTTCTTGATTGTATCATGCCCATGTAGAATACTCTGTGGTGAGTTGTTAACTCCATGTGCTCCACAGCTCACACTGTACTTTCAGTCACATTGTCAAATAATAGTTTCCTTTTATTATACTTGTGTAAAAGTGTGCATATTCTTGTGGGGAGGTGTGTGTGTGTGTGTGTGTGTGTGTGTGTGTGTGTGTGTGTGTGTGTGTGTGTATGTAGGCCAGAGGTCAACCTTGTTCCTCAGGAGCCATCCAACTTGATTTTCAGAGCCAGGTCTCTCACTGGACCTGAGGCTCACTAATTAGGCTTGGCTGACTTCAAGGATCTGTCTGTCTCCACCCTTCAGCACGCTACGCTTACAAGCATGTGCTACCACACTCACATGTTTCTTTGGGTGCTGCTGATTGAACACAGATTCTCATATTTGCATGGCAGCCACTTTACCAACAGAGCTCTATATCCATTGCCCAATTTCCCTCTTACTACATTAAATGATATAAAGTAAGGCCAGTTCTCAATCTCACAGAATTATGTTCATCATGGATTCCTCATTTTTAGACACTTTGGCGACTCCATGTTTGGAGAAAGTGAGTGATTAGAGCCCACTCCCCCCGTTGACCTCTTTTGTTCTTGTGACTATCTAGGAGCATCTGTGAATGAAGGCAAAGGCTTGGATTCTCCTCTTCATGTAGTGGCCAAGATGTGCATTGGGGAGCTGGTGCATCTGCTGATGGACTTCGGAGCAAATCCTCAAGCTAGGAATGCTGAAGGAAAACGGCCTGTGGATTTGGTGCCTCCGGACAGTCCTCTGATCCAGATCTTCTTGGAGAGAGAAGGTGCCTATCTTGTGCCCGAATCTAAGCCCTAACCCATAAGACTCCTTTGGTCTTTAGTATGAGACAGGTATTTCCTAAGTTCTGACTTCCAGTTCTCTAAAAGATCCCTCTCTGCCATCAGCATGCATGGGGAACCTGAGACAATGCCACAGGACACAGTATTGCTTATGAAGTAAATAGCTTTTTGTTGTTTGATATGTAGGAGTCAGGCTGTTAGGCCAGTTTTCAAAGAGGTCAGCTATTATTTAAAAGCATTCGATATTTAAGTTAACTGAAGCATGCTTTAGAGCGGTGGTTCTCAACCTTCCTAACCCTGCGACCCTTTAATACAGTTCCTCATGCTGTGCTGACCCTCCCAACCATAAAATTATTTTCATTGCTACTTTATAATTGTAACTTTGCTGCTGTTATGAATCATAATGTAAACGCCCGTGTTTTCTGATGGTCTTAGGTGACCCCCTAAAGGGGTTATGACCCACAGGTTGAGAACCACTGCTTTAGAGTAATTCAGCAGAAGTCTTCTAGGCATTGTCTGATTCCCCAAGATGTCTAACTGCTCCGTACATCAGCCGAAGCACAGAGTAATTGATTGCTGGGGTTAAGATGCAGCTCACCGAGAGTTTAGGGTATGTGTTTAATGATTTACACCAATCAAGACACATTTACGCTTGCCAGTTAACCACACTCCTCCATGAAGAAGACCTCCCACTGCTCACACAAATAACTAAGCAGTGGTGTGCATAGGAGAAGGGGCATCTCTTGGAGCAGAGACCCCTTTCAGGTTGTGAGGATGCCTGATTGCATTATTAGTTGTTCTTGGAGGCAATTCAGGACCTGCTTTCTCCCTAGAGTGTTGACTGAGCTTCGCCGTTGGATTGTGGGATTGAGAAGCAGGCTTCCTGAAGGACTCTGGTGTCAAATAAGCTGGTTATTTTCTACCCACAGGCTGAGAAGTAGGGCTGATGTTGGGCAGAATGATAAAGTGGGCCAAGGACTTCCTCCTACTCCCACTGCCCCAGGGCACTCGCCCATCTTGCAGTTGCCTGCACTTTTAGCATCGCAGGACAGGCTGAGGAAGACTGATGTAGGCAGAAGGAATCAACTAGAGACCTCTTTCCGTTAAACAGTGGGATAATCACTGGGCATTTCTGCGTGCGTTTGGATGATTTCTTGTTAAAAAAAATTCTATGAATACATACAGGGCCACTTTCTCTTATAGTCCCTCAGGGCCCACAGAAATGTTTTAATTCTTGTTAAAACTAGAAGAATGATGAATAAAGACTAACTAGAATTATATTCATCTTTATATTAACATAGTTGTAAAATATAAGTTTTAATATTTTTATTGGGAAAGTGATACCCAGAGGCAGCTGTGCCTCAGGGCCCTCTGAAGTCACACAGTGGGATGAATATAACTCCTTCCTCTTCATAGAATCTTATAAGATTTTCAGATTGTCTTCACTGATATTTTCCTTTAAAAAAATTTTTTTTTGAGACAGGGTATCTCTATGTAGTCCTGGCTATCTTGGAGCTCGCTATGTAGATCAGGCTAGCCTTGAACTTACAGAGGTCTCTCTGCCTCTGCCTTACTGTTGGGATTGAAGGTGTACCCACCATGCCCAGCTTGGTGTTTTCTCTATTCCCTAAAGTTATTTGTAGAGACCTAGGTTATCCTTAACGTCTTCATTTCCCACTTGGCATGGTGACAGGAAGGCCTACGGTCCTACTGGCTTAGGAGTACAGCTTGGTGGTAGAACCCCTGCTTACTAGAATGAAAGCCTCTAGGTTCCATCCTAAGGACCCCCACACCAGCCAAGTATAATTTGCCACTGAAGAAAATCTCCTCTGTGTTGCCATCATGAGTCACTTTTAGGATTCTGGGGAGGCTACTTTTTAGCAGGTCGATAGCCCACCAGAAATGGTCCCAGGCAAGCACAAAAAGTTAGCCTACAGATGGAACACATCGGTTTCTGTCTCCGGGTCTCCTTGCTGATTCAGCTTACCTGATTGATGCTCTGTGCTCAGGGAGGCAACTTAATCAAATTGCTGTCCTTCTTCAGGGGTGTGGGGACTGGGGAATATTAGCTGAAACTTAACTGAGCTGGGAGTTGGGCTTGGCATGGAAGTTAGGAAAGGTGGGGGGGGCTCTCCCTTTCTTTGGAAGCTAAAGGAAAGGATTTCAATATTATCCTTTCTTCCCGTGCTTGGCATCTAAAACTCTTTTTCATGGCATGGATTGAAAATGTAAAATGATTCTCTCAGCCCAACAAGCTTGCTCTGAAGTCTTCTTCATTGAACTTTATGAGGGCTTCTCCCAGTTGCCCCTGACAGTACATCTAGCACATATTAGTCACATCCTCCAGCACTCCTTAGTGAAGTTAGGTTAACTTCCATTTCTCCCTAAGGGTATGCTGTGAAGTTCGTTGGTCTGTGCCTTGAACATAATCTGAAAGATGCCCTAATTTCCAACTGGTCCCTTCTGGAAGGTGCTCTTAGGGCTCCAACTAGAGCTTCCACACATTTCTTTGACTATGTTTGTTTTCCATCACCCGAGAGCCCCATAACTTCAGTTTGCCTGTAGCTGGCGGGGAGGCTGCAGGACAGTAGGGGCCACGGTACCATTTCATTTGTAGTCTCAAGACCGACTTCACAATACAGTGACCTGGGGCCCAGGGCTTTAACAAAAGCTAGATGCACAGGCACAAACCATTGGTAACTGAAGTGGTGTCTCTGGGGTGGGACACAGCATCGTGTAGTGCAAACTTGCCCAACTCCAGTCCAATCTAAATGGCACCCTGGATTGAAGGCTACTGTTTCAGGGAGTTATTAAGGGTGTATAGTTTTCTTTAAAAAATTATCCAAAAACAACTTCCATTTTAATTTGGTGGAAGGAGTGGGGGTGGGGATGGGTGATTATGCCTTCCCTTTAATACTATGATAGGGGTTCTAAACCATGGTACCGCTGACAGTTGGAGTCAAGAGCTGTGCTATGCTCCTGACTCCAGGGAGAAAGTACTTCCCTTTTCTTTCCCCCCGCCCAGCCTATTGAGAACCACCATCCTAAAATGTAAACTCTTGGGTGTTCCCTGTGCATCTTCTTTTGGTTCATTTTCACCCATGAGCTGAAGCTTTGGGATAGCTTAGAATAGAGACTAGAAAAGTAAATACAACTTACTAACATGAACTTATGATTCATTGGGAACTCAGTAGACTTGAATAGCTTTAAGTTGCTGAAATTATAAACATACTTGCACGTATGATTTAATTTTTAAGGTAAAAGCACCATGAAATGTGAATTTTATTTTTTTATGATTGGAATTTTTGTATGGTTATTTAATTTCCAAGGTAGTTTCCTGAAGCCTCTTGTTAGTGAGGGTAAATTTTAAATTTCTTTCACTCTGGCATAAATTAAAATCCAATGAGGGATGGAGATGACTGAGCAGTTAAGAGTGTCTCCTGCTATTGCAGAGGACTGGGGTTCTATTCCCAGCACTCACATCTGGCAGCTCACAACTGCCTGTAACTCCGGCTGCAGGTGATCCTATATCCTCTTCCGGCCTCCGAGGGTACCCTCATGCATGTGCTCATCCTACCATGTATACACATACATATAGATAAAAATAAAAATACATCTTAAAACATCAAAAGATTTTACTTTCGTTAAATGCAGGAAAAGAGAGAACATGGACTCAGAATGCCCCCTTCATATATGCACATAATAATCAATGAAAAAAGAGGCCATGGATTTGAAAAAGATCAAGGAGAGATATACAGGAATCTTTGGAGGGAGGAGAGGGGGAAACGATGTAATTATATTATTATCTCAGAAAAAGTAAGGAAATGGTCTTAAGTGTATAGTATTTCTGCATGAGACTATTATATATTATATACTGCAGGATTGAAAAGGCAGTCCTAGGCCAGTGAAGCCAGTGTGTGACTTGTCCCATGCTCTTCCTCCAGGACCCCAGTCTTTGATGCAGTTATGCCGCCTGCGGATCCGGAAATGCTTTGGCATTTGGCAGCATCATAAGATTACTGGACTCTTCCTCCCGGAAGACCTGAAGCGCTTCCTTTTGCACCTTTAATTGTGTAGGGCGTGGATGCACAAACAACTGAATAAGACTGTTGAAACTTTTGCCACTGGAGTTTCCAATAAACTTGTTTATAATGTTTGACTAGTGTTTTCTTTAAAGTTAGTTTTCATGGGAACTCACTGGGTACTTGATGTTATTGGTTAGAGAGCTCGAAGACTGTCCTCTGCTTAAACACGACCGTCTACAAAATAGCTGTTGGTTTTGAACGTGTCCTACATGGCAAGCACGAAGCAAGGAACACGTTATGCGTCACCTAATTGAACCTTCAGAGGCAACTGCCCAGGTGGGCACTATTTACTGTATTACCTTTGCCAGGTAATACACTGAAGCTCAGTCTGATCAATACATCCAATTACCCAGATCAAGGACAGAGGAGACAGATGCAAACGCAAATTGTCTGCTGTTAACCTGGCCAATTTCAGCTAAGACAGAATTTTCTGTTATTACGGTCCTGGCACCATCTCCATGACATCCAAAGGGAGATGAAGGACAATGTTTCTTTGTTTGTGTCTATGCTATTAACCTTTTCTCACTTTATGACACAGTTGTGGATGTATTAGATAGAGAAGCAAGTTTTTTTTTTCTATCCCAAATCCCATATGCATGTTAAGCATATTCTAGAACCCTTCTGTGCAATATAGTAGTTGCTGTTTAGGGTTTTCAGCCATGGGTGATTTTTTCAACTCCCCCCTCCCAACTTGGGATATTGACAGTGACTGCAAACATTTTTAGTTGTCTTTACTAAGGAGATGTGTACTACTGGATAATCTCAGTTGTGCATTTGACAGAGAGCTAGTTAGAGGCCAGGGTTCTCCTGACTATCACACGCACACAGGATAGCCTCCGATCCACAACAAAGCATTATCTAGGTCAACATGCAGATGGTGTCTAGGTTGAGAAACCCTGAAGTACACATATATGGTGAATTAAAAAAAACAGAATTAATTAAAGCCAAGTAAAACGAAAACATCAGCTCAGTGTCATCAGCCGCCTATCAAGTGTTTATGACCTACTCAGGCGAAGTGGCCACTGTGTTGTCAAGTGTGTTACACAGATACAGTTGCAGAAACTTCTATTGGACAGTGTTCCTCATATGGTAAGTTAACAGATTTTAACTGCTTTTCAGTTTCAGATTTATAGGAAACCTGTGATGCAGTTTAGTATGGATGGTTGTAATCGCTCTGAGAGAGGAATTTGGGGTTCTGTTACATCATTATAATAAAGAAAGAAAATACTGTGACCACACATATGAGATTAAATATGGCCTAGAAGATCACCCAAAATATAACCAATATTTTTTCTGTGATTCTTAATTTAATTTGCTATATGAAAAACTCCAGAATACGGTTTTCAAATTGCGAACAAGGTTTTTCCAGAAGATGGCGCTGTTGCCACACACTTATTCAAGCAAAAGCTTTGCTACTCATAAATGACCAGTCACAAAATGGTTTACCACAGAGGCTCTGGAAATTTCCATCTGGGAATGAAAACTTTGTGGTGATGGATTCTACTGACAATGGTTTCTTTGGTGCTGTAGCCCACAGTTCCAGTTTGAATAAATCCCCTGCCCTCCCCACGTCTGTCTCTTTCTTAACCGGACCATCTTTACTTTCACTAATCAGAATTTATAGACAGCTAATGAACGTAAGTATTCCTGCACCTTGCGAATTCATTCACTTCCATTCATTTCCCTGAGTTTGTTTATCTAGGGATTATTTAGTGAGTGCCTGTGTCTGTTTCAGGCACTATTCTAGACACCAAAGAGGCAAAAGTTAATGAGATTGGCATGTTCTAACAACAGATACTGTTTCTTAACTCTCACATTCTAGTCAAAGACTCTTTTGCCAAGGGGCAGGAGCTGTGACCATTTTGCCAGTGTTTTTATATTTTATTATTTTTTTTTATGGAAAACATCAGTTTAGGTCTTAGGGAGTTGGCTCAGTAAATGCAAGCATGACAATTCATGTCCCCATAATGATCCCCAGAACCCACGGCGGCACGCAGTTTTAAAGCCGGTGCTGGTAGGGGCAAAGACAATCTAGCCAAAATGGCAAACTGCAGATTCAGGAGAGACCCTGTCTCAAAGGGGAAAAAAAGAACAATTGAGGAAGACGCAAGTGTCGACCCATAGCATTCACACATAAGGGCACAAAATGTGCATGCACATGTAAACGTACACATGAACAAGGCACACACACACACACACACACACACACACACACACACACACACACACAGAGGCACAGGCAACACTGTCAATTAAACCTTGGTGTTTCATATAAAATGTCTCAGACAAACCCTTTCTATGGTAATCCAAAACTGTAACAAATTCTAGAAGAACATTTTTCTCCTTAAGTATTATAGTCAATTAAGCAATTTGAAAATCCATATAACAAACGGTCATCTTCAGGAAAATACTACCACCACTTCCCTTGTTGCAATTTAGAGGACTGTTAAAGCACTTCGCTTAGCAATATTCAGACAGAAGATGCCTTTAAAAGATCCACTTTTCTGAGTATGGATGTGATTGTGTTTACAAGTGGTGTACACCTTTGAATGTTTTGTTAACCTGATATAATGCAAACAATTCTATCATCAAAGCTGTGTAAGTGATACTTAAACACCGTCACTGTCCTGACTGGTTTTATGTCAACTTGACACAAGCTAGTCATCTGAGAGGAAGGAACTTCAACTGAGAAAACGCCTCCAGAAGATTGGGCTGCAGGCAAGCCTGTAGGGCATTTTCTTGATCAATGATTGACATGGGAGGGCCCAGTTCACTGTTGGTGGTGTTACCTCTGGGCTGTTGGTCCTGGTTTCTATAAGAAAACTCTCGGAGCAAGCCAGTAAGCAGCAGTCCTCCATGGCCTCTGCTTCAGCTCCTGCCTCCAGGTCCCTGCCCTGTTTGAGTTCCTGCCCTGACTGCCTTCAACAATGAATTGTGATGTGGGAGTGGTAAGCAGAATAAATCCCTCCCTCCCCAAACCGCTTTTGGTCATGTGCTTTATCACAGCCCTGAAAACCCTATGCTATCCACTTACAGGAATGATGGATGTAAGTTTAGCTTCATGATACCATGTAAGTTTAGCTTCATGATACCATCTTTTAAAGCTAGTAAGCATTTTATCTGTTTTCAGATTACAGCGTAACGTATTCTGTAGACTAATGTATTGTTGCTTTGCAATGTGTTTCTTGTTTTGGTTCAGTAGGTGTACATGGCTAGCATAATTCATGTTATGATGAATGAAGAAAGCAAGAGAAAAGGACTGGGAAACAATGACTTTTAAATTCTGGCTTTGACTGATGTGGTCTGGTACTCTGTGTACCAATCTGATGTGGTCAGGCAATAAGCAGACACCAAGGGTTCAGGAACAAGGAAACAAAGTGTGCTCAGCTATTCCGGGCACAAGGGTGAGGCTTTACAATGTGATTAAAGCCCAGCCTTTGGGTTTCAAAATAAGATCAGGTCAGCATCATGAAGCTAAATAGCCCCTATTGCCCAAGCCTCACTAAAAGGTAGGTATGAAGCATTAGTGACTTATACTAATCTTTACAACTGTTGCTCTACTCCATAGACAGGGCTACAGAAGGGCTAAAATGTCACAGCTAGCAAGCGGCAAAGCTAGGGGTCAACTCAGAAGTTAAGTCTCTTACCGATCCCATGCTTTGCCATTTCTTTTCTTTAAGCAAGCACAGAGGTCTGCTCTTCAGGTCTAAAACACCTTTCCCAGTTCCTGGTGGTCTCTGGAACATGGATTGAGAAGCAGGTCGGTAGGTCAAAGATCCTACTCTGATACTGAGAAGCAATGTTGTGTTTAGGTCTGGACATTACACAATGCTTTCTGGGATCCCATGATTCAGCCTGAGAGACCCCAAACTTGGTAACTCTTGGGGTGAGTGAGTCAGCCTTGTTCTCCCAGTGAGTCAGGGTCTTAGAAGATCAAGCTTGTTATTGCATATCGACTCTTTTGTATGAGTCAAGAACATTATGGGCTGATCTTGTCGGTGACACAATCTTTCCCTGCCATGGGGTAGGGTGACAGAGATGTCCCCTACACTGTGGACAACACTGACTGCTCATCTGGTACTCCCATGTTTGCTGTTTTCTTTCCAGCTGTAATAGTTTTAGACTGCTACACGACAAACTGTTACAAATGTATTGGGCTGATACAACACAAACTGCATCCATCATTGTTTCTATAGGGCAGAATTTTCAGCACAGTTAGCTAGAGTCTCTGTTTCAGGTCTCCGCAGGACTGAAACCACAGTGTATTAGTGACTTCTCTCATTTCTGTGACCCAGTACCTGAGCAGAAGCAACTTGAGGGAGGAACCTTTGACTTTGGTCGATGGTTTAAGGAGATAGCGTCCATCACCGTGGGGAAGTCATCACAGCAGGGAGCAGCTTGTAGGCTGAAGCTGAGCAACCAAGAGCTTGCGGCTGCTTGCTCATGTCTCAGTGGACCAAGGAGCATTGAGAAAGGAATGCCAACACTGACCTTTCTCCTATTACCCTTTTTATTCAGCCTGGCTATGAGATGGATGGCACTCCCCATGCCCCAAATTCATGGCAGGTCTTCTCCTATTCACCTTGGTAATTCCTCTTTGGAAGTGCCTTCATAGGCACTACCAAAAGTGTGTAACACTAACGTCTGAGGAATTTCCTAATGTGATTAATTTGGCAATCAAAATTAGTCATTGCACATGTATGTTGACACAATTATTTTTTATCTGGGGTCCATGGGACTTTTTTTTTTTAATGAACTCATGTTTATTGGAAGAAACTAGTTCCTTGTAGTAGTAGGACTGTGGACCTTGTTTTCCTGCTGGCTGTCAGTCAGGGGCTCTCTCAGCATCTAGAGACTATTGAGTTCCATTTATTTGAAAATGCCAGCCTAATTTACTTCCTCTCGGGCCATGAGGATCACATCTTCCTGACTGTGAGCAGCTGGAAAATACTGTCTGCTTCTAAGTCAAGCCTACCTGTGTAAT